AACGAGAGGGGGCGAAGCTCACCGGTACACTGAGGGAAATAATTATGGAAACTCTAACAGAAAGATTGTAACGGGAAGGGAAATATAATAACAAGAATGGAAATGGAATGGGATATTAAAGATTAAAATTAAATAAGTATAATCACTTTATAAATATGAAGTAATAATTACTTTTAAAATTGAATAAATAATAATAACAAAATAATTTAAATAAACATATAAAGTTAAATAGAAACAATATGAAACTATTTAAAAGATTCCTCAAGGTTCTCGTAGAAAGAAAACCCTCTCCCATCTACAGAATGTCATGGTTATTTTCTCAGTGCAACAACTTCGCTTTGTGGTTCTTCAGCTCTGCCGGCGTCTCCAAATCTCAGTTAACGCCGACAGCGACTGCAGCTGTGGCAGAGACAACCGGCAGCGACCGAGGCAGAAGCAGCGACTTCGGACCGCTTCAGAGTTTTGCCCGGTGTGTGGATCTTTTGTGCGAGCGCTACTCCGCAGACGTGCGCAACTTGTCGCGCTCTTAACTTGGTCTTCTGCTGCTGCCACTGCCTGCCGCTTCTTCTCCTTCGTCTTCTGGCCAAGACAAGCGCGCGTGTGTGTGTGAGTGTGCTGGCGCAAGCGTGTGTTCGTCCGTGCGTGTGTGTCGTCGGTGAAATAATATAATTGGCCTGACCCAAAGTCCCGCGCGGCGGCAAGTTCAAGTGCGTCCAAAAGAAAAAGAAAAGAAAACCGAGGCGAGGAAGAGAATCTCGGGAAAGACCGGAGATTTTCCCAGTGCCAGCAATTATCCGGCTAACAGTGCTTTGTGTGATTTTTTTTCTTTGCCATCGTCGTCTTCGGCAGCCTGGCCTAAAACAAAAGGTAGCAAGCGAAACGAGTGTCAAAAAACCAAAGAGCCAAAAGTGAAGAAACTCATAAAACAAAGCTCAGAACAGGCCCAGAAGTTGAGCAAGAGGAATCATAACAATCATAGTTAAGGGAAATGGCCCAAAGTAGTGAGGCCAAGAATAATATCCGAAAAAACAAGAGGAATAAATCAAAAAACATAATCATAATAAAAGAAAAGGTGCGTGTGCTAGTGCACTTTCTACCGCGTACAAGTCAATTAAGCGCCAACTCACAAATGCCCCCAAAAACAGAAACAGCCAGAGATACGAGTGCCGAGATACAGATACCATCTCACAGATACAGATACAAATGCGCAGCCGATAGATGCGCATAACTGCAACTAACTGCATCGGCAGCAACAGCAAACAGCATCGCCAGCAAAACAAGAGCAACAAGTTCAAGCGCCGCAAACACGGCCAAAGCTTAAAAACGAGTCCAAAGCAAAAGTCGATGCTGCTGCGGCTCCTGCTGTAAATTTTATTGAAATTCCTGTAAAATACAAGCCAGCCAGCCACGGCCACAAGAGCTGAGCAACGGCAGCCTCTCAGTACAAGTGTTTCAATTGCGACTGCCGCTTCTGCTGGTGCTGGTGCTTCTGCGGCTGCAGAACTCTTTGGCTTTCCACAGCTTCCTCCGCAGGCATCACCTCATCTTCATCCTCAGCCTCAGCCCCAGCCTCAGCCTCCCCTGCTCTCCTTCTGGCTGCTGCTGCACCTTGGCAAACGATTTTTGCTTTTCGGTTTAAAGAACTGGTCTGATCGTGGTTATGCCAATGCCCAGGCGAGGGTATATCGGGTTAGATGGAACACAAACAAGTTGATGAAGGAGTGTGTTCAAGGAACTTGATAATACGTTAAGATTTGTTAATAATTTTAGCAAAATCAAATTTGGTAGATAAACTTAAAGTTTTCGAGAACCAGGAACATTTATCTTTTCGTTATTAACTAAGCCATAAATGAAAATGTTTGTAGATAAAAGTAAGAAGTCCCTGCTATACCTTAAAGAACTTGCAATTAATTAATTGTCAAGAGATAAGAACAGGACTCTTTACTTAAATCTTAGAGGGATTAGAGTATCTTCCCAGAACAAGCATAATGTAACGATCTGCTTAAAGGATATTCAAGATATGTAGATAGCTATTTTATCTGTTAAGTAACAAATTCCTTCTCGACAACCCTTCCTAAGTAGCTGAGTATCAGTTGGTCGAGTTAACAGCCGCCACACACGAGGTTCTTCCTTATTGTTAAAGGCCTGCCAGTCCGCCTGTCTTTGGTCTAAAACGCACTCGACAGGCGCGGCAAGTGGAGGAGTAGGAGGAAAAGGAGGTGGGATCTTGGAATGGGATGGCCCGTTTGGCTTGCGGCCACAGATGATCTGGCAGTAGGATGCCTCTTGCGTTATTTGCATTTCACGTTCACGTTTAGGTTTACGCTCTGGTTTATACAGGTTTCTCCTGGCAGGAAGATGATGATGATGATGGGATGATAGGCTGGCGACTCGGGCTGATTCTGCGTGGAGTGGCATGAAATGGTTGGCAGTAATTATTGTAATTTGCATTCGGCATTTGCAATTGAGAAATTGACGTTGATGGTTGCAATGAACCTGCTGCAGCTGGTGGCAGTTGCCGAAACAATTAGCCGGCCCCCATCAAGTTTGTGCCCTGAGTCTTTCGTTTCGAGCCAAATCAAATTGGACCAGGGAACAGGTAGCCATAGAACCACTGGCCCGTGGCATGGTCCCGCATCCCCAGTAGACGACACGTTACGGGGGGAAAAATAATATAACAGCAACAAAAAAAAAAGAAGAGAGGGAAAAAAATGTAGATATACAAATAAATTTCTCCAAGCTCCGCTTTTGGTAAGCAGAAATGAAAGCAGCGTCAAGCGAGACGCACTTCTTATTTGATTACACTAGAAACGCGCTTAGTCCCCGATGTGTGTGTGTGTGTGTGTGTGTGTGGTTTCTTTCTTTTGACAAACTACACCAGCTCCACGGCAAATGGCATAATTCTTTTGTTCAGCATTTGAAATTACAAGCTGCTCTTGTTGCTCTTGCCGCTGGCATTTCACTTTTCTTTTAGGTAAATACTAAAAGAAGCCACAAAGAAATTCGTTGGCTTTCGCTTTTTACCCAGGGCCACATACACATATGCTGGCGGCACATACCTGACAAAATGTATTTTTAATAACAAACAAAACAAATTGTAATTTCACTTTTAACGAGCCAACGGAATTGTCACTTGTATCGAGTGTGTGCGAGTGGCCGCAAAGCCGTGATCTCCGAGTGGAAATTACTTAATTGCCCATAAAGCCAGATGGAGGGACTGTCCCGGCGGGATTCTCGCTGGAAATCATGCAAATCATCCGCTGGCTGTGACCCAGATCCGGCCCCATCTCGCTTCTTCCCAGGCGTGTATTCGCATTCGCATTCAGATTCTGGTTATCGCTCAGAAATTCATGTTAATTCGAGACACACACACACACAGAGATGCGGGAACGCCAACACAATTATACAGATATGGCCTGAACGTGACCCAAATACACAAATAGCTGGCCAACATATTTGAGGCTGCGAAAAGCCAAACAATTGTGAAACTGGACTTGAGATCGTGCTTGCTATCAGTTTAATTCCAACGCCTAATTGAGGTAATCTGAATGCATCTATTTTATGGCTTCCGTTCTCGATTCGGTGAGATGCGGATTTAGCATTCGGGCCTAATTAAAGCTGCGGTCGATGTTCTCCCTCTCCGTCTCCTTCTCCAGCTCCTGTATCTCTCTACCTCTCTTCCCCACTCTCTTGGCCAAGTTCAACGACCGTATTACGCAACACACAATGAGAGTTACTCGCGGCTAATTTGTTCATTTCTCAACGCTGCAGAATCGTGACTGAAAGAAAGACCAAGCCAAACAGAACAGAACAGAACGCTTGATCAATGGGTGTGTGTGTGTGTGCGTATTGTCACCGCAAGATGCCTGCGGCATATGGCATAGCATACCCCACCATAGTTATGGCCATATGTGAGATACGGAGGCGCATTGTCATCGGATCCCGGAGCAGGTCCAGTTAGCTCTAGCCAACTCATCATCGTCTTGTGGTTCGCTTTCTTTGATTGCTCCGGTTTATGTCATCATTTCTGTACATCTACCGAACGAACTTTCTTTGCCGATCGAACTCCGGCTCAATTAGGCGACTGTTGAACTCCCCTCTGATGAGAACTGGCCATGGGAATGGGAATCGGATTTGGATTGGACTTGGACTTGGGCATGGCTTAGGGGTAGGGGGATTTGCTTGAAGACAGGTGTTAAATGCATTTCCGAACAGTTATATAAACGCCTGGCTAGACAGATTATACAATCAGTTAAATGGTTCCCGTTCGGGTCGCTTTCTATGCGCACACACTACTTTTGCTTTCCATTTGGGGCATTTTAGGCATGACTACACAAACCCATACCGCTCGTGCATATTACACATACGCCCTGGGTGCCTTGGTCGCCGCAAAATTTTAGCTTCGATCGGTTTCTGTTTCTGTCTCTCTCTCTGGGTTTGTTTTGTTTCATTTGGTTCCTCATTTTTGCATATGCAAGTCACCGGAGACAGACTTTCACCTACTTGAGTCAGCGGCTTTAGCGTATTGCCTCTACGCACTTGTTGCTTCCTCTGCCGCGCCCGCTTCTACTTTTTCCAGAGGCGTAGGCAGAAAGTGTTAACAGAGGGGGGTTTTAAATAATATAATATGTAAAGTTAAAGGAAATACATTAAGTTAGTTAAGGGGAATTTTTATTTATAAGCAGATAATTAAGGAGCTTAGGTTAGAAGTTAGCTCCTTTTATTATTTGTTTATTTCAATCTAAATAAAGAACTCGTTATTTGATATGGAAAAGCACACTTTCTAGACTTTATTTATTATAATTTCTAATAATCTCTAAGGAGTTTAACCCCTCTAATTTCGCCACTGACTTTGGCCGTGCCCATGGGCTTGGTGTAGAAATCCCATATGTTTAGTGATCAATTTGAATAAGGTCGTAAAAACGTTTCACATTTCGCATGACTCATCCCCCGAAGAAAACTAATAAGCTTGTGGTTTGTTTTATTTTTAATTTTTGCAGATGGGTGCACAACACACGGATACAGACACCTACACGTACACAGCAGCATCCTCCGAATCGAGAGCCAAGAGTAGAACGGCCACATCAAATACTCCATCAAGGATGCCACGTCCCAGCCTCGTCCTTAGCCTCCTCACAGTGGCCAGCCTGCTGCTGCTCACGATAGACGCCACTCCCGTCTTTGTGGATAATCCCAGCTTAGCACAGTGTAAGTGGTCACCCCTTCCGATTGAATCATCGTCCCCATCAAAAGCCATGGGTGTCAAGCAATTACCGCTCTCACTTACCTGGAATTACCCAGATGCAGATTCAGATACAGATACAGAGATACGGATGCGGCTTGGTTTCCCAAGAACTCCAGCACTTTCTCTCACGTAGACAATTAAAAGTTTCTTTTCGGGAAGGGGAGCATCCACAGTGATTACAATGGAAGGCAATCGCTTCGTCTGCCAGTCAAGTAAAAGAGATCCATCAGTCGGAAGCCAAAAATCTTGAGAAAACATAATAAGCAAAAATAAATAAAATAAGTTTCAAAATAATAATGTGAAGGGAAGACAGGCACACAATCCAGAGAAAAATGAATGAAATAATACAGAAATCAAATGAATGAAGTAATAATTCAGAGAAGTGATTCAGAGCAGCTTAACTAAAGCTGAAATTCCACAGAATTTGTTTAATTTTAATCAATTAATTAGATGCCTCATTCAAAATGAAAGCAAAATCGATTACAGAACTGAAAAATTGATAAATTAGGAATGAAAAAGAGGCAGTGACGGTCACACTTTAAGTTGATAAATCAATTTGTTTATACAAAAGATTTGAAAAGGGGTGGGTTACTTCCTTCTTTTAATAAATAATTCAAGAAATTTATTCGATTCCAGTTATAATTAAAAAACTGTTGGCTTTAACTTAATGCCAAGAAAATTATGGTTAACTATATCAGCTTCCTTGTCCACATCAAGCCACCTGAGCTGGTAGCACCAATAAACTTTATTGCCAAAAAGAACGACTTTAATACGGCCATAGAAAACAAAAGACTTAAGCGACGAACTCGACGAGCGAGTGAGACCGAATTGAGAACAGCAAAGCCAAGGCAGAGCCAGAGCCAGAGCCAGAGCATTTCTAATGAAAGTAATCAAAATTAATGACAATAGAGACAGGCGTTGCCGGGAACGAAGATTAATTGGGTCACCGCCATTAAGAGTCAAATTTATACGCTATTAGCACTTCCTCCCAAGCGAATGGCCCCACACAGCTGCCAATTTGTCTGCCGAAAGACAACAAAGCGCAGCCTTTGAGTGGTCAGCCAGCACAATGAGGAGAAGCCAGCGGGCTTAAGAGATGAAAATAAAACTACAAAACTTTCATATATAGATATGTATATATATAGTGTATAAACCGAGCAGCGCCGGCAAACGTCAGCGAGCAAAAGCAATTGAGGTCAGCCATCAAAGAATGTTGCCATAAAATAAGCAACCGCCGCCGCCAGTCAGGCCAGTCCAACTTGGACACCAGATCGGACAGGGAATCGGAATCGGAATCGTACTTGGGACGCGGACTCTTGGCAAGAAAGTGTGAGCATTTCATGTTTATGACTGGACCGCAGAGGCAACAAAGAAAATATAAATAATATGGATACAGAGGCGGGGCGGGCGGCTGCAGAAAGCGGAAAGTAAATTTGATGGCAAGTGAAAGGGAAATAAAGCCGTTTCTTCCAGCCCGGAGATCGAACCGAGGCATTCTTCGGTTCTTTGACCCACTTAAGCCGCCACTCACTCACCCGCAATTGGGCCACGAAAATGCGGTGCCGCATTCGCATGCCAAAAACGATAAAAAAAAAAACACAGAACAAAAGAAAAACGAAACAAAAAACACGAATTTCCCGCAATTGCAATGCGGGTCCGAACCTCTCTTCCGAGGCTTCGATTCGATTCTGGCCTGGCCTGGTCTTGACTTGACTTGGCTATTTGGTAGGCGAAGCGAGTGGCTAGCGAAACATATGCTAAGCTGTTGACCCAAAAAGCCACAAAAACGAAATGCAAACAGAAACAGAACCGCTGCCGGCTCAGCCACGATCTATGGAACGTGACCGTGTCTCTTGGTACTGAATCCCCCTTTTCGATGGATTTCATTTCGTTTCGATTGATTCTTCTTCTTTTTTAACCCAAGTTCGTGCCTTGAGTCATCTGTTTTTTTATTCCCTGTTTCTGTTTGGGGATCCAAAATGCGCTGCCTGTCCAACGCGTTCATGACAGAGTTTCGTGTTAATTGCATAAGAAATGTGCGACACTTTGCGGCCAAAGTTCAATAAACGCAAAACGACAAAAAGGCTCTTGGCAATATTTATTTAAATACCCTTAACAAGTGTGGGAATGTTGGTTAACATTTAAATTAAATGAAATTCAAGATGATAAGGAATAGAAATATCTTGTGAAATTAATGCATTAACCTAATCTTAATATTTATGATATTTTTTTATTTATGGTGCGCCTATTTATTCTTCAAGACTTACCGAAAGGTTCACCATTTAAAATAAACAAGAAAGGAAACTTATATCGGGAAGTCGAAATGTATATTCTAATTGCAATTGAATTATAAAATTAAATAAGAAATCGATCATAAGTAAGTGTAAAAGATTCTAATTTCTTAAATCAATCGTTATTCAAATAAAACAACTTTGCTGAAAAGTCAAATTTAAAAATCCCACAACTTGGCCAAAACTGCATTAATTTTAAAACGGAAAACGTTGTTATGTTAGTTTCTATTGTGTTAATAATTCTGCATACTCAATTTAAACTTTAGAGAATTTAAATTTTTGATCAATTTTGAAAATTTTAATGATGTAACCCCTTATAAAATTTTCCAAAATTGAAAAATATTTTTTCCTTCAAAGATGGCTAGATCGATTCTGCTATCGACGCTGATCAAGAATATATATGATTTATAGGGTCGGAAATGAGTTCTTCACTGTGTTTCAAGCTTCTGACTAAAATTAAAATACTTTTCAGGGGTATACAAAGAACTTTGCTTTCCTTCTAGGCAGACATTTACCATCATCTAAAGTTAATGGCTAAGCAGAAAAGTTTAAAACAAAACAACCTCTCACACAAATAAATCAACTTTTGACACCACTATCATTGTTTTGAAATTTTATTGTAAGCCTAGAGGAATATTTCATTTTGTGGCTCAGATCCTCGTCTTTACCTCTTGACTATTTCCATTTATGAGGCGCACTTCCAAAAAGAAAGCCACCTTCGAATTTCGCACCTTCAATAATAAGGCTTTCGAAAAAGGTATTTAAAGCATCCAAACGATGCCCTGCTTTGTTTTCTCTCCATTTAGCAGGCATGCAAAGTGCGTTATTTATGTGCGAGTATTTTGAGCGCTTAGCCCGAAATGCCTCCGTCGGCTTGTTAACTAAATTTATGGCCAAAAGGGGGAATCAGGACCTCCAACAGGGCTGGCTGACTTCGTCCCTGGCCGAAACAAAAAAGAGTTAAATAAACACACGAAACTCTTGGCCCCCGTGCTGGGGCCTGTGCAATTATATAAGTTCAAAGCTCGAGCTTGGATAATTCTCGGCTCGATTACACAATGTCGACAGCGTTCAACAATGATGATAATGATGATGATGATGATGCCGATGACGATGCTGGCGGTTCTTTGGGGGCAGCGCGCAGAAAAGCAGAAATCATAAATAAATAACAATAATGCGGATGGCTACTGTGTTGCCTCATCGGGCGGTCTTATATGCGATGATGATGACGCCCTTCAGCGATCTTGCGGCTTTTATGGGTTCTCCTCGTGTTTGGGCCGCGGCTTTTGGGTTCATGTTCATGTCTTGGTCTTTGTGGCTTGTTGCCACTTCATTTTCACTTGTGTTAACTGTTTGCCTAACGGTAAAGGCCGGGCTCAAATTGGCGTACAAATTCGAAGGCGTTAATCGGCCCGGCAAACGGAAATGGTGTGGAGCAGTCGATTCGAATCGGTGGATCCAGAATAGGAATAGGAATCATATGTGCCCCTCTATCGTTCCCCAGTTGTTGTCATCATCATTATCATCATTACGGGTATATATTATACTGATTTTAATGGTTGTATTTCTGGACAGAAGCTAAATAATAATAGTTTTTAGTGGTATATTAACTTTATACATTATAATATCTATTTTTGTGTTGTGTTAATAATTAAATTGTGATGTTTTAATGGCTATTAATAGTATTTTTTGTTATTAATATAATTTTCTACTTATTTTGCAGTCCAATCTGGTCGAAATATCCGCCATCTGCCTTGCATTGTTCGAAAATCGGGACGCTCGGGAGTCTGTATGTTCGCCATTGACTGCATTAAGCAGAATGGCACCCATTTGGGCACCTGCATCGATCGCTTTTACTTTGGCTCTTGCTGTGCCCTAAAGGTTACTGATCCACACCCTTACAATCCTCCAGACTACACTAATATCTAAAATATATTCCTACCCCCAGGAGGAAGCCTCACTCTTTGCGCCAGAGATCAATGATAATAGCATCGACCAGAACACCATCTCGCATTTTGCCCATGAATCCACTACACTGCCCACCAGTGCCCTCTTCAAGCTCACCACCGAGAGCAGTCTGTCCACCACCCACCATCAGAGCCCTCAGTCATCCACCAACGAGCTGCTCAAGAACGTCACCCAGTCGTACCTGAGTACCTCCAAGCCCGGTGCTGGGGCCAGTACTCTCTCCTCCACCCGCCGCCCACCACTGGCCCACACCACCCACAAGAACTCTCACTTTGTGGTCCGGACCACACTCAAACCCAATGGAGCACCTGCTTCTCCTTCTTCTCCTGCTCCCTCGACGACTACGTCTTTACTGCCAACAGTTAAGCCGCCGCGACGACGCACCACGACGGCCAAACCTGTGCTGACTACGGCTCCGGTGGTGCAGGAGCAGCGCATTGAAACCACCTCGGTGCCCACAAAGTTTGTGACCTTCCAAATAGTGGAGACCACAACGCCACCGGTGACAGAACCCACCCGTCAGCAGCAGGAGACGACCACAACGGGAGCTCCCACCAGGCGACATACCAGGTAGAATTATACTTCTGTTTACTGATAACTAATTAATTAAATATTAAAATGTAATTTACTTTATTTCCAGACCCACGTCCAGCAGTTCAGCGGCCAGTAGGACGACCAGCAAACCCACAACAACTCCTAGCAGCCCTCCAACAACCACGACATCAACAACAACCGCGGCACCCACAACTCCAACACCCACCAAAGCTGCGGTGACCACCCCACGTCCCACACCACCATTACGCACCACTACGCCCAAACCCCACAAAACCCATTCCAGCCGGAGACCACCATCCAAGAAACCAGTTGGATCAACTACCACCACTTCCAGTGGATCACAGTCCACGAGGAAACCAATTGATAGCCTGGCGAGCAGCAGCACTGTCACTTTGCATAACAACACAGCTACTACAGTGCCGGCTCGAAGGCCAGTGATCCAAACGAGCAGCAGTAGCAGCACCTCCTCCACCTCGACAACAAGCAGCACATCCTTCAAGGACGAGCTCAACAAGAACCAGACAACCATTAAGGTGCCAGAGCGCACCACTCAGGCGCCACGTCCCAAGCCCAAACCCACTGCGGAAATCGTAAAGGTGCCTGCTCTCCTGGCAGAACCTACAAGCCAATCCACAACTGCCGTCGACACCAGTAGCAGCATCAGCAGTAGTAATCCTCCCAAGACCTCGCCCAGTAGCACCACTCCACTTTTGGTGACCAAGAAGAAGCCCAGCAGTACCACAGCAGGAACAACAACCACGACAACCACTCCGAAGCCTACCCGTCGAGCCACCACAAAAGCTCCAACAACAACCACCCCCAAGCCCACAACAACAACCTCCTCGACAACTACTAAGCCCAGCACAACAACTACAGTGAAGCCTCTTCTAACCACAGAGGCTCCTTTGAGTGTTCCTGAAACGCCGGCCACCAAGAAACCCGGTTTGATAACCTGGACAGACGTCGAAGCTGAGCCAACAACAAATGCCAGCATTTCCAATGACTGGCAGCCTGCACCGCCTCCCAATTGGATGCCACTGGGCACCCCTGCACCTGAGGCGGCCAATAAAACAGGCGCCACTACAGGTAAGTGCATACTCCGCCCAAGAAGGGATTTTAAAACCAGAAAGGAAGTTAACTTCGGAAAGCCTAAGACAATTTAGCAGCTATAGATCTAGTCCTACTTATCTACTTGCCAACTTTTAATTAAAATTAAAATAGCATAAAAGGGTATAGTTCGAAAATATCATTTGCTTTTCGGTAAAGAAAAATCTAATACCTTTGGCTAGGCAAAAAGTTAATTCTTTCGGAATCCTTCGCACATTTGGCACCTTTCAAATTCACTTAAGGGATAATAACAACTTTGATAGAGTTCTCCCTTAAAAACTATACTTACACTCTCTATTTCCAGCCCCTCCCAGTGCCACCGACAAAGTGGTCATCTCGGTGGCCACCAGTGTCAGTGAGGTGGAGACTCACGGTACCGCCAAGCCGCACAAGACCACGAAGCCGCCAAGAGTAACAAGTACACCAAAACCACCAACAACAACAAGTACAACAACTACTACAACGACGACGAAGACGACGACCACAGTGAAAACCACCGAGGCTCCATCAAGCAGCGTAGAATTGGCCTCATCTACATTATCCTCCGTGGAGCTGAGCAGCGAGGTGGCATCCAGCAGCAGCAGCAGCAGCAGCAGCAGCAGTACCACCACCAGCAGCCCCGAAACCACATCTGCCGGTGAAACCACCGATTATAGCGGCGAAGAACCAAACACCACAACCATTGAGGCCACTGGCAGCACCACCGTGGCACCCGCCAATGCTCTGGAGGGCGTCGATTACAAGGAAGGTGAGTGATCGGGCCGAGGATCAGGAGGAGGAGTACCGGGGAAAACTTGTTTCCTGCGGGGAGAAATCTATTAATACACTCGCAGCTCACATGGGCTCACTTGGCCTCACTCAGCCTCACTTTGGCCATAAGACAAAGCCAGCTTGTGCGTGGCCATTAAATTCAATTTGAAGGCTAAACGCTGGCCTTGAGCCAGCATCGGGGCTGAAGACCAAGAAGCGGAGACATCTTCCGAGATGTTGTCCCGGGGCCAGCTCATAAATGGTTACACAGAGATAAACTGTAAAGGGGAATTGCTTTAAATTCGATTTCAATTATTCTCAAAAGGGATAGATAGCTAAAAACTTAAATTATTTTTATGGTTTTCAAGCCATTTCACTGGTAATTTTTCCCTGTGTAAGAACACTCCTAAGGTGAATCTTCTGCTAGACACAGTCCGCAACAATTTTTACAGCAATCATTTACAATAATGACTGCATCGTGTATGGGATCGCCTCGGTCATTGTGCCGCTTGGGTCACGTTGCTTGCTTGCTGGCCATCGTCTGCAGAGTCCAGCCGGGCAAGAAAAGGAGCCAATGCAATGCCCCAATCCCCTCCCGATCTCGAGTCCTCCTGTCCTGCCTGTCCAGTCAGCAGCCCGTTGACCGATTTGCGGCTGGCAAAAGCAATCTTGATGCACGAATCGAAACGAGTCGCGACGCGACTCTCGGCCGAGCCTGGTTCGGTTCGGGCCAAGTTGCCAACAACAAGTTGTGCTGGCCATAAAGTAGGCCGTTGACTGCCTGCCTTGCGGATGGCCAAAGTCAAGGACTGGGCCGTGGCCAAAGCACATTACATTTGGGGCTGCAGCCAAGATGACTGAGTGCCGTGGCGGAGTGATTAAAATGTTTAAGGCCCTGTCGGCCCATTACTTTAATTGTGACCCCCGACGCAGGCCTATTAACCAAGCTCTCGCTTTTTATCCTGTCCAGTCTGCGGTCGTCGCATGTTCCCCGAGCCCCGGATCGTTGGTGGAGCCAACGCCGCCTTCGGTCGCTGGCCCTGGCAGATCTCCCTGCGCCAGTGGCGCACCTCCACCTACCTGCACAAGTGCGGAGCTGCCCTGCTGAACGAGAACTGGGCGATCACGGCGGCCCATTGTGTGGACAAGTGAGTAATCGATGCCTCTTAATGCCAACCATCCCCCTTACGAGTGTGTCACTTCATCCAGCGTGCCGCCATCCGATCTGCTGCTGCGCCTGGGCGAGTACGACCTGGCCGAGGAGGAGGAGCCCTATGGTTATCAGGAGCGCCGCGTTCAGATCGTTGCCTCGCATCCCCAGTTTGACCCGCGCACCTTTGAATACGATCTGGCATTGCTTAGGTGAGAAGCTTAATCCTTTTTGATCCTCAACACTTACTAAACCGCTTTCTTCCTAAACAGATTCTATGAGCCCGTTGTTTTCCAACCCAACATCATACCCGTGTGTGTGCCGGACAACGACGAGAACTTCATCGGCCAGACGGCCTTTGTCACGGGTTGGGGCCGCCTGTACGAGGATGGACCACTGCCCAGCGTGCTCCAAGAGGTTGCCGTTCCAGTGATCAACAACACCATTTGCGAGTCCATGTACCGCTCTGCGGGTTACATTGAGCACATCCCACACATCTTCATCTGCGCCGGCTGGAAGAAGGGTGGCTATGACTCCTGCGAGGGTAAACTATTAAGAGATTTTCTATAATTACGAATATACTAAGTATCATCTCTAATCCTTAGGTGACTCTGGTGGTCCCATGGTGCTGCAAAGGGAATCGGACAAGCGCTTCCATCTGGGTGGCGTCATCTCGTGGGGCATTGGGTGCGCGGAGGCCAACCAGCCCGGTGTGTATACACGCATCTCCGAGTTCCGGGATTGGATCAACCAGATACTGCAGTTCTAGACCGGATTCGGGGGCAGAGAGACCTCCTTAGCGAATGCCCAGCACCACCAACACCACCAACTCTATCCGCGGAATCCAACTGAGACTCGGACTCGTGCTCCGGTTATGGAGAGAGAGATCGATAGATCGGCGCATCGGCCATAACCCGAGCAACGATTCCAGTTGCTCCACCTCACCTGTCACCCTCTCAATGCACTGCCCACTGACCCACAAGCTGATAGCACTTCCATCGTCATAATCGTAATCTTAACCGTACTATAGCCTAACCCTATCACTAGTTAGTGAATGTGATTAACCAGCACACTAAGCGAACTAAGCGAAGCAGTCACAGCTCATGTAACGTATTGATCGATCGATTGGACCTAATTTATTCCCATTTGCTGTACATAATTTTCTAAATTATTGCATAACATTTACACTCTAGCTTTAGTCCTACTTTACACAATATTAATTTAAAGGGGATCCCCCCGCGATCAAGCGAGGGTCCTGCGGTAGGGCATTATCACATAAGTCGCTTCTCCTCGAATCGCAAATCAGGCGGCAGAAGCTATTGTAATTTTAATTTATAACATAATGTAATTATTTATTTATAGCAGCTCATGCACACGACAAAATTAATACAATTAAAATGTTTAAAACAAACAAACGTCGAGTTTTGTATGTTGGTAGATAAAAGGGGAAATAAAGTGTTACATCTGTAACTATAAACTATATACCAACAATGGCTTACTATATCTAGTGCCTGTATTTATTTTAAGAGAGAAGAGTTGGATATTATTTTTTTAAATCTCTAGAACTGCAGAATACGCACTATAACTAATTTTATAAATGTCTCTTCTTCCATTAGGGAAGTCCCACTTTAAATCCACTGAAAGTAATAATTCTATTTTAGTTTTTAGGCTATAAAACATTAATGAAGTTAATTGTTGATGATCATTAATTTATTTTACTTAACGTAAAGTTCGTTATGTATATAAAAGTAGTTTGTATTTCACACAAATCTGACAACATTTTTTGGACGTTGAACGAAGAAGTGGTTTAGGTAAACTTACCTCCAACCTTTACTTTACACAGTATTTTGTCAAGCTTCCAGCGGCCGCCATATAACTGTAATAATGTAAAGTTTAATCTCTGAAATACTTTCGTAAGTGTAAAAATACTCTACATCAATCTATACATTTCGTTAGACATTCTACATTTACATTTTACATAAATTTACTCTTCAAAAGTATTTTCCTTCTGCTATAAATTTATAAACATACGTTGAAAGTAGAAACAAAGATTTAGTTTATACAATAAAGACTTTTATTAAACGTCAATCATCAAACAGTTCTTCCTCTTATAGAAAATTTAAAATGTATATTAGTAAACTCCCATTCCCATAAAAAATAACTCTGGATCCCTTGTGAAAGCTCTAAGATTTTTCGTATAGCAACTCTTAAATTCCCCATGCATGAGACAACACCGAACTTGGCAAAAGATATTCAAGCATTATTTGGCAGGTGCCATTGGGAGCTCACAAACTTAAAACTTTCTTTACCGGGAGACCGGGCACACGTCTAAAATAAATATAAAAATTTCCAATGTTTGTTTTGCTCACATAAAGATATAAAATATGCGGAACATGTAGACAGCGATTAACACGCATAGCCGGATGAAACTGAACTCGGTTGAATTTAATGCAAGAAAAATAAACAATAAAACTCTAGATATTTGTCTCCCTCTGCATAAGGTTCCCCACAAGTCATCGGAGAACTAAAAACTAAATAACAATTGGGAAATTTAAGAACTTAATTATAACTCTGGGGGTGTTCAATATATTTTTATTTACTCTAATCTGCACATTTTATTTGTAATAAATTTCTTGAAATTAATCATATAGTTATTATAAAATTAAGTTTATGATTGTCCTTAGAATTTTTATTAGAATTTAGACAGGAAAGTTTAACAAATAGACTATATTGAATATCATAGTTTTTGATAGCTAAGAATTTCAACAAAATGGATTAAACGAACTCATTTTAAAATGTTCTTTCCACATATTTTATTTCCTTTTAGTGTGTATATATTTCTTTTGAATACATCTTTTATCAAAATAAACTTTAATTTAAATTTAATTTGATTTAATATAAAGCATAAGGTATAAATAAATTATAATATGACCAAATCTCTTACGAATGCCCTGCAATTACCGACCTGGCTGGTCGTGGAACTTTCGCTCTCGGTTAATGGCTCATACACAGAGTTGCCCGGTCATTTGCATATGACAGAGCTGAGTGCTCCTCCATTCGCTGGGCATTGTTTATGGCGTGTGGGAGCCACCAGAGTGCGTTGCAAGTGCATGTCGTGGCCACGGCTCAAGATCTGGATAACTGGAGATCTTCGGTGGCGTCGGGCCTATCATAATTTGTACGGATATCACGTACTTGGACGGGGGTCATGCGTCCGGATTATCAACGGCAGCGATCACGACCGGCAGCGGATTGCGCCGGTCCTTAGCCGCTCTTCGACTTGGGTTTCCACATGAACTTTCACATGCGATTCGTGCCACTAATGGGCGTCAGATTAGGGGATTATTTGTCGGTCGGTCGGTCGGTCGGAGATCCTCCGATGGCGATTGGCTAACCGAATCAAAATAGACCTAGCCAAGCGAAAGTGAAAACCTGATACTTGGCCCGGACATTGATTAAATCTAAGTATGGTCAGGCCGTGTGATCCATGTGAATTAATTCGTCAACTAATGACCGATTTATGACATTCGATATCTGAATTTATGGAGTGTGTGCCTTAGGTAACGGAGTGAAATTGCTTGCATAACGGATGGGTGCCAAAATGTTGATAGTTGTCATCGAGTAAGTAGTACTTTTTTGGCAGTGTTCAAAATCAAATTCAGAGCAGAGCATTCCCAGGGAAAACGAAAGCTATGAAGTAACTGAAGGGGCTTGCATTTAATTTCTAAAGAAATGTTGCACAATTAAAACGCCTGAAGAGCCCCATCAAAAGCCGCACACACACACGACCGCAACGAGTGAGGGGGCGAGGCCGCAAGATGTCAGCCGGAGATCAGCAGGGGGTTTCCACCTCGAGAGAGATGACCACCGGCCACTGGTAACTACTATCAACTACTCAGCTACCCGAACCGAATGCACAATGACGACGACTCTTAGACTTTCCCAACCCACCACGGACAATGGAAATTTCTTATTTTTCTGGGCAAAAAAGAAAAAGATTTATAGGAACAGTCGCAATCGCAGCGACTGCCACTTGAGAAGCAAACAAAAAACGAAAGTCCAAGTGCTGCTGCCACAATAATATATTTTAAAGATATTTTTCTTTACACAATTTATAGGCCCATCTGTGGGGGGAAAACAATTGAAAAGTACTTGTGCCTGGACAATATTTTCCCTTTCTTCAACCGAAGAGGCTGCTGGGAAACGCCACCGTTCGTTCTCAGAAGACGCTCTTACCTCTCCCGCCGATATCGCTTAATGAAATCGCACACTAAGACCGACATGATCATTAATTTGATGGCGATGGCCCAGCCAGCCCCATTTGAAACGTAACCCGTAGGAAATTACTCCTCATCCGGTAATTATTGGTCTTGGGTCTGCTTCAAATCTTGATAGATCGATCGGATGCTTTTCGGATGCAACCAGCGTCTTCACACAGCCACCGGGCTCCGATAGATCTTCATTTGTTGGGATCTCTGTACTCATTCTCAGGTGGTAGTTTATGTCCAATGTCCAAATAAGGGCGTCAAAATAGTGATGATCCGGGAGAGTATTGCGATTTTAGGTCTCGTTAAACCCAGTCCGCGGGAAACATTTCTCTTCCACCTTCGAAAATTAGAAAAAAAGACTTCTCCATTTCACCGGCAGTCAAAGTAAATCATTTACCCATGGCCCCCGGGCCGGTGAGGCTTCCCTTTCAAAAAATGTATGCCTTTTTCTGGCCTTTGCCCTTCGGACATCAGAAAAAAAGTGAAGGCAATTGTAAGAAATATATTTTTCTGTTCGGCCAAACATTTATCAGTACAAAATTATGAATTTCCCCCCTCGCATAATTTAAATGAATTTTTTAGTTTCGCTTTCTAATTAATTGCATTAGCCGCGGTGGACGCCCACACACAAACGGTGTGCGATGTAAAAACGTTTTCCCTTTTTAATTTTCGCCAATTAAACGGCCACACAATCAAACCTTGATTACCGACCAAATAAATAACTAAATAAAAAATAAGAAAATAAAACTCACACATAGCAAAAAGCGGTGACGGAAGTCAAATGGATTCTGTGAAAGGTGCAAAATTTTTATAGAGAGCTTCAAAGCAAACAATGTGCAGAAAAACGCGCCTAATGAAGACGAAAGTCGTTGCGCAAATGGAATTGAATTAAAATGGCATCAAAATGAAATAATAGTGCAATTAGCTTGGAGCCCTAGCCGGCATCCATGGCTGGCCAAATCGACCACCAACAAAGCCCGGCCCAAAAGAAATGGGTAAAGAAAATATTTGCACAGTTGCCAGTAACATAGATGCTCTTTTATTTTTACTATATATTGTAAAAACTAATTATTAAGATTATTCTGGTGTTTTTATTAACCAAGAGAATGCATTGTAATTGATTTATTTGTGTATTTAAAACTGTAAGTTTTTTAGTTGCTAATTAATAACACATCTAGAAGAATATTCTTGTATAGTGAAGATTTTCAAGATAATTATAGATAGTTTGTGTGCCAGGATACTTAAGTTTATTTCTCCCATTTATTCTTAGGTTGGAAATCTCTAGATTAAAGTGCATATAGAACTTACATCAAATTGAAATTTATAATTAAAATGAAACTATTATAAAGGTGATTTATTTCCCAACGCTCAGTTATTTTAAAGCTAGTATTTCCCGAATTTTCCCTTGCAATTTTTAAACTCATATGTTCCCAACCTTTCAACGTAGCTAAGAAACCCCAACTTCACGCAAAAACAAAGTTCGCCAAAAAGTTTCGCCCATTTCTCTAATCGCCACTAGGGGACCAACACCAACTCGTTTACGGGTTTATTGAATAACATTTGCGTAATTAAAAGTGTGCGAAAAGAAACCGAAATTAAATCATAGGTATACCATCTAGAGACCCTTTTTCACGGCGGCCGTTGACACGCGCGCTTGCGCTGTAATTGAAAGCGCAAGTTGTCACCGGTGGCGTATGCGTGATTTGTTGTCTATTTTGTTTATCTTGTTGTTAGTTGTAGTTATTGTAAAAGAAACCTTCGTTTAGTTGGCCGGAGGATCTGTTGGCTAACGTGTCATACATTAGCCTAACAATGATTGTCTGTATGTCACTTGTAGTTGCTGCTGTTGGGCCAGTACTCACTTTCATTTATTATGCCAAACCGAAGCGAAGCGAAGTGAAGTGAAGTTTCTTTTCTGGCTTCGGCTTGTTTGACTTTAGTTTGGGGCTGGTAAACATGGCTCGCAACTTGCTAAAAGTGAAATTATTGCCTTTTCAATTAGTCACAGATCCCACCAAAATCGATGGGCTACTGAACCCGGGAACCCTTTTCGGAGCCGCGAAAAGGAAAGTGCTGCTGGTTAGTGCTTAGTCAAAGATGCGTTAATGATGGAGTTTTTGGTTCGATTTTGCCAGGGCAATAAATCAAAATTCGTGTCGACGCCTCATTTTTGATTAATTGGGCCTTAGTCCAAACAACGACTCCCAGACTTTGTGGAGACCATTGACCATTGACTGGGCTCTACCCAACAGGCCGCCTTTATGAACTTGATGGCTTTCGATTTCGTTTGAATGCGAATTATGGCCAGTTAAAAAACTGTTAGCCCCAAAGATTGCGGGGGTGCGGGGTGAGAGCAGGTAACACTCGGCAAATTGGCAATTTGGTAGGCGTCGACATGGAAACATCCCCAATAATCGAACACTCGGTTGCTGTTGGCCAAAATCGAATCGAACCTTCACTTTCTGGGCCCGTCTTCGGAATTGAATTTCTCACACTTGTCGCTCACTCTCAGCTGAGCTCACTCGGCGATCATTATGCTGATTTGATGTTTTCATCGATGATCGCCCAGCCCCCTGTCGATATGGCTGCTAAGTTTGCGAATTATTTGGCCAGCTGTGAAATAGAAATTTTGACGGCTCATCAGTGGCAGCATCAGCATCACCGGCAGCACCAGCAAATATGCAAAACTCAAGTTAAGTGAGCACTGCAACACACTTGGAAAAATGATTCGAGGGAGACAAAACAATCTTTAAAAATTCTAATAATGAAAAGAAACTAAGTTTGGAAAGCCAAAGATAATACACCCCTTCAGTTTGCAATTGAATTATAGGGTTAAACAGGAAATCGATCATAGCTATGCTTAAATGATTCGAATTTTTTAAAGTTATAAAACTTCAATTTTACGGAAATCACTGTTTAAAAATCTCATAACTAAGCCAAAAATGTATTTATTTCAAATCGGAAAGCATTTCTATGCTAGTTTTTATAAGGTTAATAAATCTGCAGACTTCATTTAAACTTTAGAGATATTCAATTTTTTATCAATTTTTGACAATTTTAATGATGTAACCCCTTACAAAATTTTCAAAAATTCGATAAAAATTAAACATTTTGTTTTTCAAATATTTTAATACCAACTAATTAAGATTTTAATTGCGAGTCGGTAGATATACGACTTTTGGCAATCAGTGGCATTTTAGGGATTTTATGACCTCAGAAAGAGCTGGATATTTGCATTTTTACATCGAGTTATCGATGTTTGCATACAATACTTTTTCTAAACAAATCATATTTAAAAAATGCCATAACTAAGTTAAAAAAGCATTTATTTTAATTCTGAGAGCTGATGCTGATCAGGAATATAAGGGTCGGAAATCACTCGCTCACTGGGTTATACTTTTCTAAGTAAACATTATAATACCTTGCATTAACTTAGCATTAAGCGATTATAAAAGCAATTATCAAACAAAATCCACTTATTCTCATTTAAGTAAATACATTATAAACCCATTATAAAGTCCAGTTCTTGCCGTGTATCTCGTTAGATATATTGCAGCTCGTTTGATTTATAATCCCCATTTCTAACCAATTCCCTTGAAGCGGTTGTGTAACCCAATATTAGCCATTATCCATTCGCTGGTCAATTTGGCGGCGGCATCTTAAACAGATGCGTTCGAAGAATGGCCTCGAATATTTCATCATTTGGCGTGCGGATCGCCGGGGTTTGCCATTTGTTTGGAGTTCGCTTCGAGGTTGGGTTATCGCTTTATTTTGGCACCTTCTTGGGCGAGCTGCCCATTGTCCGGGACGATGGAGACTGTGTGGACTGCAGACTGGAGACGGAGAGAAAGTCAGAGGGTCTTTGTCTTAGATATCATACCGTTGATTATGCTAAAATCGTTTAAAATCGTTCATAATTCGCCCCATTCGTGGCTCTCGGGTGTCGTAATACCGCATCTAATGAATCACCCAATGTATGAGAAAGCCATCAGCTCCAGCGGCGACTGGTTCTGGCCAGGCGGTGACCACCACCCACGTGCCCGGCATGCCCAATCAGTTGGACACCGCGACGGGTCTTGTGGCGTTTTCCATTTCGCTGCTGCTGACCACGGGAAAATAAACACAAAAAACAAATACCGGTGAGCCCGAGAAATGCACAGAAAAAGTGAACAGAAAATCATTAAGTGGACAAACCAACGAAAAATAAAAAAATAAAAAACTAAAGGCAAACTGCGACAACAATAACGAAAGTGAAATTCTACAAAAAGATCGTGATGGTGGTGGTGATGGTGGAGCAAGCGGAGTCCACGCTTGGGCAGCCACAAGTGCCAGCCTGGTCAGGCGTTTACCCCCGCGACTCGACATTATAATGCCGACCGGGGACAGGCGGAGCCAAGCCCACAGTTCAGCCAAGAAAGCAAAACAATAACACACCGCTGGCGCCGCCGGATTTTCCAGTGAAATTTGGGTCAAGGAAATGCCAATCGGCAGGTGGCACAGGCTCCAATCGACGGTGGATGCCACATGTGGACGATGCGGCCGCACCACAGATGACCGTTATTAGGTGCCCACTTTTGCCGGTGTTTTCGGAGCCATAAATTGCCATCCTCGCGGGAGGAATGACCTCTCTCAAGCAGTCTTTGAATATATGTGCATGGGTTTTCTTTTCATGTTAAAGACACTAATTAGCGAATTTGCAAGGTATTTTTGGAGGGGTAATTTCATACTCCATATAGAGGAGATGTTAAATATAAATCTTAAATAAGGACAGATCATGTTTATTTACAGATGTTCACAGAGAGATTCATATTTATAAGCGACTGTGACTCTAATCTATATGAATTTCATACTAAACATATGAAGCACACAAGCATCCCATATTATTTTATAAATCCTATTACAAATAATAAATTCCAGTAAACCTAAAGCAATATTTCTTAATGATTCGTATTCCATAATTAAGTCTTTATTGTTTACCATGTTCTTTTCAAGAGTTTGTAAGAATATTCTGCACAAGTTTGGATAGGTAGAAAATAGATCTTATCTCTATAGATACTATACTGATCATATTGATCGATTAAGACGATGCAGTTGTGATCTGCTCGAGCTCCATTTCCGTCTCCTCGGCTGACACCAACGATTACAAGTTGGTAACAGAACCGCCTCTGTTAACAAGATCACTCTTAACCGACCGGCGGATCCCTCTTAACCACGAAGTCGCACTGTTAGCCGCTTCAGTTTAGTTTCAAACGCGCACGCGTGCGGTCGCCAAGAGAGCCACCCCAGAGAGGCAGAGAGAAAGAGAGAGAGACACACACAGAGAAAGAGGGAGAAAGAGCCCAGCGAAAGAAAGCAGGCGACGGAAGAAAACAGGAATCGCTACAGAAGCAACAGGCAGCTAAAGAAGCTGAAGAAGCCGACGCCGAATTAGAAATGTTTACCATTTAAGCGACGCCTAATAGAAATACTCTCACGTACCGCCGCACTCTCTGCGACAGCGCGCTCTCTTCTGGCTTGGCTTTCCGCTCTCTCTCTCTCTCCGGCTGAGTTAAAGTGAAAGTTTTCCACACAAAAGTGGCGAAGGTCCGTTATCTTGGCCGCCGTTCGGGCCAAGCTTGCAATCAGACAGTCAGACACACGCGGAGCGTTCAGCTGAACAGTTGGCCGGACGCATGGTCGAGGAAACGCCGTGATACCAGATACCAGCTACCAGCTACCAGCTTCAAGATACAAGATACAAGATACAACATACAAGATACAGATACGAGATACTATATAGATGTGGTGCAGTGTGTTAGTGTTGTCTATTCGGTGCCAGCAACTGTAAATTCGCGGCTGACCAAAGAAAGTGCGGTGGCCGCAATTAAATCGGAATCGAAATCAGAATCGGGAATCAGTGACAACTCACTTAGCCGCCTCGCGTTCGTCGCCTAAGTCATTCGTTTTGGGCTCGCGCGCCCCACAACATTACAACACTGTTGCTGCTGTGTTTTTGTATTTTCGCACACACTCGCTTCCGCCCGATTTCGAAATCTCGCGCAGGGCTCGGGGCTCGCTTCTGCTGCCAGACGGTCTAGGCCAAAAGTAAAATAATAACTCCTCGCACAAGTGTCCAGCCAAAGCGCCAAACATGTTTAAGTGGGTTACGCCGGCCTCAACGGCGGACTTGTCCCGCTGCACAGAGCCAGAAACAACGACAACAACAACGATAACGAGAACAGCAAGAGCGACGAGAACAGCAACAAAACCACAACTACTTTCCATCGCTTTAACAAGTTTAATAATAATAGTCGCATCAGTTGTGCCGCCAACAAGTGGATTTAGATCAATTGAAACGAATGGCGGTAAGTGACAGACAATTTACCTCATTGAATCGATGAAAGGCTCGACACAGCCACAGCACCGTTCAAAAGAAGAAAGTTTAGCACAGACAATAAAAATGTAGAATTATGGCAAAGAAAATCAATTTGCCAAATTGCAAGCTCATGTCGCTATTGCGGCTGCTGCTGCTGCTGCTGCAAATCGAATCGTGTCAGTGGCTTTTGCTGCCTCACTTTTGGATTTGGCCCATCCAATGCGGGGGCTTTCACTCAATGGCCAAGTTGACAATGCGCAAAGCAAAAAAATACAAAACTATGCCTTTGTGTCAATAAATGAATCAGAAAAACTCTGGCACAGAAAACTCTTTAGCGACGCTCGCTGTGAGTGTGTGCGAGAGTGAGACTTTCCACACTCCACGCACTTGGCAATTATTTGGTTCGCTTTATGCCACATTACGGCCACAAAGCAGCCACAAAAGACCCTCTCGATGTGCAGACTTACTTGGCCATCGCGACTTTCCTTGTGACAGTTTTTACGACTGCCAATGGCAGCCTCTCGTTGGCACGAGGTCACCTGGCCTTGTCTTTGGCTTTAAAAAGTGAAACAAATATCTGGAGTACCTGGTTATTAGCACACATCCTCTCAGTCTCCCATTCAATATAGATTTAGTTCACCCCGAGGTGCCAAGTCCATAAAAAAGCGCCACACACACACAGAATCGGTTAGAGGGGAAAATAAACCATTTGTGATAATCGACAGCACAATTTGTAGCCACATTAGAAGAGATTCACGCTGAACAAAGAAAATCTGTTAGGGTTTTTTCTTCCCTATTTCGGATATGTGAAATTTCTCACATAGCATTTTCATTTCTTCTAACATCGTAAAATTGGTGAAAACATTCATAAGTATGTCGTTAAGGCAGAGCCCGAAAGCATATGCAATCAGTGTCTTTTTTTTCAAGTTCAAAAAGCGATCTCTCATCTTTTATAAAGTAAGTCTTTTGTTTGTTCAGCTTACGCTGCAAAAACAGCCTGTCTTCTGCTTGCAGAAGTCCTTCGATAAACACTTTTTATTAAATCAATAAGCGGAGTCTTCGAAGTTTCTTGTACCCTTGAAAATGAAATGAAAGGGAACTTAGGTCTTAAAATCTTTCAAATGCTCACTTTCCTTTCAATTTCTTTAAATTTATGGTGTAAATATTTCATTTTAAGACAAGAATATTAAATAATTATTCTTTAAAATGAAATGTTCAGAGACAACAAATTGAATCCCATAATTATGAAAACTTCTCTTGGCTACATTTGCTTTTCTCCGCTTTGATTTTCCCAACATTTCCCCCATTTCTTCAGCCGCTACCTGTTGCATGTACCCTTTGGGAAAAAAATAAGGTTTCGGAAAATGTAGGAAAAGAAAATCAATACTTCCGTTTGCCAGCCGGTGGCAATCGCAGAACTGTGCTGCGTCAGCAAAGGTGGAAGTCGGCAAATGCCAATCATCGGGTATATACACACACACCTGATCATTAGTACGAAACACGTAAAACAATTTTCAATTTCTATTCATCCGCTGTTTGAACAGAAAGAAAACCAGGAAAGCAGTTCAGTTCATTTCAGTTCAGTTCAGTTCAGTTCAGGAAAAGCGCGTGTGCGAAATGAAAATGTCTTGGCCAGCCCAAGAAACCGCAGTGATTCTGATGGAAGCGTGTGCCAGTTTGCGGCTTTCTGTCGCTGTCGCTGTCGCTGTCAGTCGCTTGCAGTTGTTGTGGTTTTAGCCATGGCCAAGACTCGACTCGACTGCCGCTCTTGCACTTGTCTTTGCGGTAATTTGAGAGGAGGCTGAGGCTGAGGCTGAGGCTGAGACTGAGCCCGAGACTGGGGGCCAAAGTCAATGCTGATGGATGGACAGTGTTCGATGTTCGACAGGCGATGTAATTTCAAGATCACGTTTTTACCGCTGCCCGCCGATCAATTGTTGCTCCACATCTCCAGATCGCTCCCGGCCGATGCTGCCTGCCCGCCAGTTAGCTACTTAAAAATCAATTCATAACTCTTTTCTTCTCGTTTGGCTAATTGTCGTACCGTTACAGAGACACACACACTCGAAATTCTCAGTTTATGCAAATTACAAATTCCATAATTCCCCACATACTCGTATTTTTCGTTCGCCTCGGTTCCCCCCTCGAAGCCAGCGACATGCAATTAATGTGAAAGCGACATTTGACTTTCTTCTGGGCCCGCGAGAGGGCCGCAGCGATTTTCCCACAGCCATTTTACACTTAATAAACTTAACGCAATCGCATTAAAACTGTGACAGATCATGAACATCGAGTGCCGGCAGAGCATTTCACCTCGTCCAAGTATGGATTGCACTTCCTAACACCGGAGCAACCGAGTGAAACTACAGTGGGGATTCTCTATAACTCTTGTTTTACCTTTACAGGGTATTATCAATATAGTCAGGAGCTTGTAACCAGTGAAGAATCATTTTCGACCCTATAAATCATATATATTATTGATCAGCATCAAAAGGGGAGTCGATCTAGCCAGGTTTTTAAATAAATAACTTTTGTTTTTGTTTCATTCTTAACAAAATTCCAGTTTTTCATGGTTTATATCTTATATATTTTTAATTAAGAAAGACATTAGCTTTTGTTAAGTAAATAGATACTAATAGTCCCATGAAAGACTTAGTTGTTTTACAGACCTGTTATCTTAAAGTATTTAATTTACTTGAATTTGAGACAACTGTTAGTTCACCCTATAGAGTATCCACTGTGCCCAAGTGCATGTGAATGGAGCTGGAAACAGAAGCTACTCAATTGGAAAGACTTGGTCGTGGTACTCGCACCCATTTGTTGTCGGTTGGCTTATCGTTTAGGCTCATCGGCATCGGTGTTTCGAGTGCCACTGCCTTATATCGACACCAGAGCAGTTACAAATTATCAGCCTGTCAACACACTCACTGGGAAAGATCGAAATAAATAAAGAAAGAAAGAAAGATCTCTGTGGTGTTATGGGATGCACGTCGTCTAACAGGAAATACACGGCAAACTTTGAATTTGTTTTGACATGTTTGGCGGTGAAAGTGAAATTCTCCGCGATGAGCTGCCGAGCTGGTGAGCTGTCGAGCTTCCGCTGGATGACAAAACACATTCTTGTGGCCTTTGTTTTCGCATGGAAATCAACGAAAACGCATTAAAGTCTCGCCTCATTTCGGGGAAGTCTCTGCAGACATTGCAGCCTCAGTGCGATTCGGGTATCGAATGGTATCGGAATCGGAATCAGAATTGAGGCTATTGCCAAAAAAAATGATGTCATTTATTGCGGCCAAGCAAAGCAACTTTCACTACTCATTCACGCCGCTTCTTTATTTATTTATTTATTTTATTTTATAGCAGCTCATCGTCGCATTTGATATGATTTTCATCAGCAAATTTGTTGGCAAAACGTTTCCATTTTATGTGCAACTTTATTTGATTTATCATTGCCGCGAATCTTTTGTCACCACCGAACCGAGTGTTCAATAACGAATGTCCCATTGTGTGGAATTTTCACCAAATTGAATGTTTCCCGGCCGGCTGGCCACCCATTGTTTGGCATCCATGAGCATTGTGGGCATCATGAACTGGCAAAAAAGTGACCGTCCACCGAAAGAATAATAATTGTAATGAAAACAATGAAGCCGCCTCTAAACGTTGGCCAAAATGGTACTACCACTCTTTTTTTCTGGGTGGCAAGTCTTCCTCGGCTTGCCCAATGTCTCGAGGTGGAGAGCAGCTAGCCAACCTGGCCGAACCTGTTCCAGGTGAGCTGGGACTCGTGGTTGACACCGTGTGATTACCTTTCTTATTACGGGCAGCAAAGCGATGCAAAATCACATTTTCCAGAGTTGGGTACGTGAGCAGTTCATAAATACGATGAAAATATATCTTTACAAATATTTTTGTGGTAGAGAACACAAGGTATTTTGTTGTTTAGGCCATTTAACTGACCACATTTGGCTAGTTGGTTGAACAAACAAATTGGCTAACGAGTAATGCCAAACCAAACCGCAAACATAATAAAGAGTACAAAACTATTACTGATTAAATGCTTGGTTACTTGTATGATATTACATTAAATTCTTAATGAAGGATCTTTATGGAGTTGTAAATGATAAAGATCAACGTAATTTTTATTGCATTTTAAATAATCTCTCTCGAGTTTTAAAGAACAAGGCGCGTGTGAGGTAGTGACCTTTGTTTTTATATATGCTTTATTACCTCAGCTTTAAATGCTTATTTAAAAATATAAAAAAACTGGGAATATCTCTTATTAAATTATATTTTAACTTTGAAATAATCATAATATATATCCAGGTATATAGTCTTTAGACCATTTTTAACAACTTGTCACTTGCTCATCTCTAATATCGGCTCGCTTGTGATTTGGTTCTGGTTTGGCCAGTAGAAAATTACGGTTTCCATTAGAATTGCATGCGTTAAATTCATACCTCCACCTGGGACACACACACACCACTCTCAGTTGGGTGTGTGAGTGTTGTGTGTGGAGAGACAGACAGCCTGGCACTTGCACATTTCACTGTTAGCTTACCGGTCTTTTGGCCGCCGTCGTCGTCGTCGTCGTCGCCGCAATTTTATTTGGGTCACTGTTACAATTTACACCGCTGCGACGACGACGGAGGAAGCACTGGGTGAGCAGCCAGTGGGAAGATCACTCGTACTCCAAGTCGCACTCGGATGCTGTGCCCAATTCGCCACAGCGACACCCGTTGCCCAGATGCTGGAGGGGATCGGAGGCAAATCGATGGAAATTGTAGATGGGCATTTGGAGCGACTGAACTCGCGACTGCGACTTTCAAATCCAATTTTATGTAATTCAAGGTGGGCACCCCCCAACGCCATCTGGGAGCTGGGGAGTTTGCGTGCAAATCGCTTATAGCCGGCACACAGCAGCCCGGCTATATAGTTATATAGTTATATAGCGCACCGTAACAGTCCAATTCGCAGAGAGCGTAGTAGAGCGTGCAGCGGGTTATGTTTATGCTGATGCTGATACCTGAACAATTCAATTACAATGCGATTAATGGCGATGCGATGGTATGCTTGTTCCGTTGCGGATCGCCGGCCATATGGAGTGGGATGGGATATATCCCCCCTGCCTGGTATTTGATATCCAAATATACATATTTATGTGTATACTGACTAAGCCGCTAAAGGTCAAGACCCCAGAGTCGTCGAGCAAAACTTTCCATTTCTCTCACGCAAGGCGGGAAATCTTCTTTGCGTGATGACATCGCGGAACCAAGATAGATCCGATGTACCACAAGTATTTCCACGGACGCACAGCCGCACGTAAAGCCCATTAAAATTAATAAAAAGCCATCGTAAAACAAAAGTAAATCTGAGCAAAAACAAAATAGTTGGTAAAACTGCAATCGACGGCACTCTCGCTGCGAGAGCTGTTCCACGGTCATAATTAGTAGCCCAAATCAAGCGATTCATGAAAAGTAAACAGTTTTTCTTCTCTGCCTTTGTCTAGGGAAAAGTGAAATTAACTCCAACTTCGAGATGAATGTAACGATTTTTATGTTAATTCCATGAAAAGTGACATTTGGTTATGTTTTTCTCTTGTGCCTTGGGTCCGCTGGTCATTAGATGCCGCATTTCTGCAGTCAATAAATCGTTTTGGAAATTGTTTTTCTTCTATCCCATTGATCGCCAGAGTTTCTCTAATTAATTGTTCCAGGGAAATGGCTAAAAGCTTGGGAAATTATCAATTTCAATGGCATGATTGGGAATTCTTTTAGAGGAATAATATCTTATTATACATTCTTTACTTAATTACTTATCTTAGGTTTTATTGGCAAATATTCTGTGATATTTTTGTTGACTCCATCCAATCGATCTGCTCGATTTCACTTGGCTGACACTGCCAGAGATCGGTTAATAACTTAAGCAAATGTAGTCCAAGAATATTTAACACTTTCACAACGCATTTAGAGCAAGATTCGTTAAATGCAAAACTGGCCAAGATCACAGATCCCACTGAGATACACGTGGAGTTGCATGTTGGTAGAAGGAGGCTGGGTAAGAAAGTTTTTTTTTTGTTCCTTTTTTTTTGCAGTCTTGGGCTAATTGATCGATAATAATTTTCCATTTTACCGTTAAAGCGCCTCGTTTGTTTACATTCTTCGGACTCTCCGGCATATCGAATGCTCTGCCAAGAAAACGAGTTCTACGAAAACTCTGAGAAGCGCTGAAAAGAGCCAAGCGAACGGCCTCTCTCTGCGGGCCAGTCTTCTCCCGATCTTGGCCAGCATCTCATGCTCATACTCATGATTTAATTAATTTCCATTCCATGGCCAAGCGTATAAATTTCACTGCACGGCCAATAACTGTTCCGTTGGCCTGGCCAAAAAAATACAAGAATACATATTATATATAATCAAAGTATATAGAATCCAGAGAGCCCCAAGGGCCAGTTGACATACTACCAAAAATCGAGTTTCGGGGCATGCCACAGAATGCTCGGGCTTTTGGGCCAATTTTCTGGTTTGATTAATGGCATTGCCACCGAGTTTTTTTTTGGTCTCAGCCAAACTTGTTATCTCATTTTGCAGCTGCTTCCTCCGTTCCCATCGCTTCTGATCTTTATTTTTTATTTTGCTCGTCTTCCCCTTATATTAAACACCGAAAAAATGCTTTAAAGCGGCGCGAAATTATTCAGGCGTTTGACACACTTTCCTTCGGCACTCAGGTTTCTTCTCCTCCGCCGCCTGGGATATGGATATGGCTGGAAGTCAGGTGTTGCGATGCTGTAACCTATTTTGTATGCGTGTCGCCTGCGATTACCGGTGATGCATATTGGCTTGGATTTCTCGATTCACCAATTAGGGTCAGAGGATTGGTAGAACGTAATCGGTTATCCGAAAGCAGGCTCACGATCAGTCTTCCATGTATATCTTTGTGTGATGTGGCAGGTGTGGGTTGTACCGATTTCCTCTTATTTCTTAACTGACATTGAGGCGTGCCCGAAACAAGCATTCTTGGCAGTCAAAAGTGTCGACTGAACAAGGGTCTAAATCTAAACATGGCATGTTTGGAATGTTTTCAGCTACAGTGGAACTTCTTTACAAAAACTAAAGAAATTGAATTCATAATGATTTGATTACTAAACCTTAAAGATAACCAGAATGGTAACTAACTATGGGAAGCCGATGTTGAAATACCCTTGCAGTTTGCAATTGAATAGGAAATCGATTATAACTAAGTGTAAAATATTCGGTTTCTTGATTCAATATTTATCATAACTTATATATGACAATTTTTCTAACAAATCGACTTTTAAAAATGTCATAACTAAGCCAAAAAAAGCATTAAATTTAATTCGGAAAGCGTTTCTATGTTCGTTTTTGTTAGGTCAATAAATCTGCATACCTTTTTAACATTTAAAGATATTCAACTTTTTTGCAATTTTAAAATAATAATTATAAAATTTACAATATTTTAAAAATTTTGAAAAAAATAGATTTCGACCAGACATCGCTAAATAGACTCTCCTGTTGATTCTGATCAAGAATATATATGATTTATAGGGTCGGAAATGACTCCTTCACTTAGTTGCAGGCTTCTGAGTAAATTATAATACTCTGCAAGGGTATAAAAATGTTGCATTTATTGGTATAAAGAAAAATACAATCATTGTTTGTTAATATATTCACCTAAACAAAGTTTATGTTAATCGGAATGCAAATAAAACCTTTCCAAGTGAAAATCTAAAGGGGTTTGATAATATCTTTTGTATAGGAAGTTTAATAATAATAAGATCTGAGCTTAAAAGAGCATTTTATATGGTTATGATACAGATCACACTTGGGAATATAAATAAAGAAATGTTTGTGGAAAAATTATAACATTTTAACGCTATCAGATACGAACCAAATACAAGCAATGAAAATTGTAATACAATTTATATGAAACTAAATAAGAAACTCTAGAAAATCAAGTATCCGCCATAGGGCAGCTCCACTCTCTAGGCCTGACTGTTTTTTTTAAATATTTTTCTGTTAACTTTCTGCCTATTCATTGGCCCTATCGTGTCTGCTGTTGTTCCCAGATACAACATTCAATTTGCTCGGGCTAAATCAAATAAATTATGTTAAACTGCATAATTATCGCTGGTTGGTCGTGCTGCCGCCTGCCATACTCCATTAAGTCGGCCCCGGGTTCGTAATTAATTCATTGACTCCGCAACTCCGCCGACTCTGGCTGGGATTGGAGTTGAGCTGGCTCCGAGCAACTACTACCAGCCTCTGGTGGCAGGTTGTTCTCTTAATCGAGGAAAAAACCTTTTGTTTTCGCACAACTCCCTCCGCCGACGGCCATTTCTCACGTCGTTTGTCTTTTAACGATTTGCGGAAGAATACTTGAGAGCACTTGAGTGTCTAATCGTAAAAAAAAGAAACGCCAAATGTCTGCAAATAATAAAGCTGCAAACGAAAAATTATTGTTATTTTATTAGGCAAGAAAAAAACGAAATCGCTTTTAGAGAGATGAATGAAAACAGCGAGTAGAGAAACGGGGAAGAGATACAAAAAAACACTATCACTTTTTCTCAATTATGTATGTATGAAGATATTTTGACTGCTATTCTAATGGCCATTTCTGCACTACTTTTTGCCCCGAATAAGCACTTGACTCTCGGACTCTCGGACTCTCGGCCACTTTACTTTCACTGGCGCTACGTGTCCGGCATACTCTCAATTGGCCCAAAAGACGCAAGACACGACTTGGACTCTGGCTTCGTCTCTGGGCCATTCCCTGCGATTTCGGTTTCGTTACCTTCCGATTTTCATTTAATTAGCAAAGAACTAATTGCCGCTAAGCCTCCGCTACGATCTGAGAATCTAGTTCGCCGCAGCGTGTTTGCATTGGGTTCTGTTCCAATTTCACGACCAAACATTGACATAGTCCGCGATGCGGATTGGGGCCATCATTTCGGCGGAGCAAGTGGAGCAACTGGCGGAGGGGGAGGTGGCCAGTGCGAGGTGTTAATTTGGCCAACATAAACCCGTCAGAGTCAGAGAAGGCGGCCACTGCTTTCCCACTTCTGGTTTAATTGCTGTCAAAATCAATTTCATTTCAAATGTCAACAGCTCCGCTACTTGCACTGGCCTATGAATACACTTTATAGGGTATTTGAGACTGGAACTTGTAAAATATATATTAAATTCTATAAAAAAGACTAACTTTAGTCAAGTTTTTATAGGATTTCAATTCAAGTAGAGGTAAGTATCCAACGCAGAGTGAGGGTGTCAAGAAGCCAAGTTAAAGCCAGCTTCCCCAATGAGGTGGAAAAGCTCTCGAGTGCATTGCCCACACCTGGGCACCGCAGATGAACTCTGACCCGGCAAGTGGCTGTGCGCTGTGTGCTGTGGTGCAGGGCCCCCACTTTCACTTGGCGGTTTTAGAGTGGCTTTCGGCTGACTTGGCTGGCCACAGAACAGGGAAAATATTGCTGCCACTTTGCGCCGTTAATTGAGTTTATATACCTTACACTCTCGGTCGAGGCTGCCGGAGGGGAATGCTGTTGCTGGTTGCTGGAGGTGTTTGCTCAAGGCTATTGGCCACAATTAGCAGTGGAGAGGGCAATTTGTAGTCACTGTTGTCACTTTCATTTAAGGAATTTCCCACATTTTCACTACGCCGCCAGTTATAATCCAATCATGTACAGTTGAGCGAAGAAGCGATGCATGAATGGCATCTTAATTGAGTTTTGGCCACGGGTAATACCTAACGAAGGCGCCAAGCCATGTTTCGATGGAAATCGGTTTAATTTTTGAGTTTAGTCGTCCATTTCAAAGGAGCTAATAGTCCAGTAAATCTTGTTAATGATGTAATAAAATCCTTTTAATAAAACTTACTCATTAATCTCTCCTGTCTGTTGTCCTTTCAGGTGGGCGCAAGTTGTTCGGCGGCTATCGCATCACCCCAAAGCACTGCCGGGCTACCAAGACGCTACCCAGCTCCGATCCTCGTGCCAATGGACCCACCATCTGCATGTTCAACCACGAGTGCGCCCAGCGCGGTGGTGAGGTGGTTGGCGCCTGCATGGATGGCTTCCTGTTCGGCGCCTGCTGCCAGATCCCGCCCACTCACGAGCTGGCCAGCACGCTGATCAATGAGGCCCAGAACGCCTACTTCCAACAGCACCAGCAGCAGCAGAAGCTTCACCAGGCGGCGGTGGTTCAGAACTCCTTCGAGAGCTCCTACGGCCAGGCAGCTCTGTCGCAGCAATCCCTCGAGGAGCAGGAGCAGGAGCAGGTGTATCAGGATCAGCAGAATCTGGACAAGGTGTACCAGCAGTTGGACAGCACCAGCAGCATCAGTCCGCCCAGCGGTGCCTACGGGGGAGAGGAGTCACAGCAGCAACAGCAGGAGGAGGCACAGACACCCGTCAGGGATGAGCCTGCGTACTCCAGCAGCTCATCCACAGAGGCCACTCACTCGCAGTCCTCCTCTGCCAGCGTGGAGTTCGAACAGGAAGCTGCTTCCCAGCCAGCCGAGAACTCTGGGAGAAGAAGGTACCCCCTAAGCCTGTCCAGCCGCCAAACTTCCATGTGCACAAGCATTCCGTGACCATCAACTCGCCTTCATCGCCACCACAGAACGATGACTTTGTGATGCAGGTGCTCAGCACCCTGCCGCCAGAGCACGCCGATGACCATCACATAGTTTTCACCACCGAGGTGCCCACAAAGATAGCCAGCGGTCTGCAGGATCAGACGAGCTCCGAGTCCAGCTCCTTCGAGGAGGTTTCCTCCACTCCGGCAGCAACTCAGAAGCCGAAGCCAAAGCCTACCACAAAGCCCACTCAGAAGGCCACCGCAAAGCCCAAGCCGAAGCCAGTGCCTCAGCTTGCCGAGAGCATGAAGCGACCCATTCAGCAGCAGAAGCCTCAAGCCAAGCCGAATCCCAAGCCAGCAGCGGCGACCAATGTCCACCACCACAACCACTTGATCCTGGACGGAGGAGAGTTCACGCACAGCGACATTACGCACCCGGGAGCAGATGCCGATCTCGTGGAGGATCTGCAGTTCTCCACAGGCTATGGTCCCCAGCCTGTCTACGCGGAGCCACCAAAGAAGCAGCAGCCTCTGGAGCAGAGCTACATCTCCGCGAGCACAAGTGGCAAGCGTCCCAACAATCCCACCACAGTCTCCTCCATTACCACCCATGTGGACTCCATTGAATCGATCATTCTGCAGCTGAATAACACCAGTCACGGTCCCAGCTATAATGTGGTGAGCCAGCAGACGCCATCGTACGGCTATCCTGGAGTGAGTCCAGTTCACAGTGAGCCAGCCACTCAGCCTCCCAGCTTCTACCAGGCCGGTGAGGCAGAGAAGGTCCAGGAGCAAGAGCAGCATCCAGAGTACGGCTACACCACCACAGCCAACTATGAGGCACAGTACGACAAGGTTTCCGATGAACAGGATGCCTCAGCAGCCGCCAGTCAATCCGCAGAGATGCCCACCGCTCGTCCTGGCTATGGAGAGGATGTGTCTGCCGTTCTAGAGGATCACACAATGCCCGCCAATGGCTACCACGATGCAGTCGCTCCCGTTGCTCCACAGACCTCGCAGTTCAACAAGATGCCAGTGATGGGCATTGCTTACCCAGTTGATATGTCCTACATGGAGGAGGAGGAGAATCTGCCAGCCACGGCAGCCGGCTATGGCAACGCCCAGGTCAGCGGCAGCAGTGACTCCTACGAGGCCAGCACTGAGTCCACGTACCAGAAGCTCTCCACCGTCCAGCAGACGGAGCAGCCGCAGCCAGTGCCAACGTATGTGCGTCCCACCACCAATGTCAACAAGCAGAACCGTCCAGTGGCCTCCTACATTGGCATGGTTACCATGCAGCACTACAGCCCACAGCCGGGAGCCGGCGGTGATTATCAGGCTCAGCTACCCGCCGAGGTATCCGTGTCCTCGCACACCACCAAGGTTCAGGAGCAGTACGACGAGTCCTCCAGTGGATACCAGCCATCGCAGACGACCTCCGGCTATGTGTCTTCGCCAACTACAGCTCCTCCGGCGGCTCAGCGTCCCCAGTACGATGCAGTGCAAGAGGATGCCTCCTCAGAGCGACCCGTTCTGGTGACAGCTGCTCCCAGACCACGACCAAAGCCAAATACCAAGCGACCAGCCGTGAAGAGACCCCTCGGCGGTGAGAACACCAAGAAGAAGCCACAGCCCAGTACCACCTACAACCAGGAGAAGATTAGCGAGCACAGCACAAGGAGGCCTGTGTCCAATGGCTACGGCGGAGATGCACCTGAGTCCCCCATCACGCACATTCAGATCAAGAAACCAGCGGCCGGCAATCACCACAAGGAGCAGGAGCAGACTGGCTATCCCAGGCCAACTAGCGGAGGGTACGAACACACCACAGCGGCAGCGGCTCTGGCTCCATCTCTCAACTACGATAAGCCAGATGCCCCTGGAAGTCAGTATGACCAGCCCTCGGCCCCATCCTCGAGCTACGATCAGCCGGCGCCAGTGCCATCTCTGAACTACAACGAGGAGAACGTGGCCAGCTCGCCGGGTAGGAAGCCTTCCACCACAAAGCCCATCTCTACAAGCTACGTGACGGGACCGAGCACTCCACGTCCTCCGGCCACCGTTGACTATCACTATGACAATGTGCCGCCACTCTTCATGGCCGACGACAAGCTGGACGCCTTCATCCAGAGCACGGCGGAGAACATTGTGGGCTCTACACCCGGCAACTACCAGCCTCCTCTGGTGGCCACTGCCTCGACGCCAATCTATGCCCACAGGCCCACGATCAGCAGCAGTTATGGCGGTCACAAGAAGCCAGGCTTCGTGCAGATCACCCAGGGAACACCCAAGCCTCCGAGACCCACGGTTCTCATCACTCCCAAACCCACGGCAATTAATCTGGTCACCTACAGCTCCCTGAGCGATGAGAATAATAACAACAAGCTCGCCTCCAGCACGGGTGCTTATGTTACCGGCAGACCTGGAGCGCAGGGTGTGAGCTCCAACGACTTTGAGGATCCCGGCTATTTTGGTAGCAGCCCCATGCACGTGGCCTTCACCCAGTCCACCACCGAGGCCACCTACGCCGTTCCCTCCGACGACAAACCAGCGTTCCCAGGCTACTTTGGACCCACACCCTCGTATCCCGCGTTCTCCGTTCCGGGAGAGAAGGTGGGACAGAATGTGATGGAGGAGACGTACACGTCGCCCAATGATTTTGTCAACTTCCCACCGGTGAGGAATCCGAATCTGAATATGTCGGCTGCCTCCAGTGCGGTGACCAGTGATCTGGAGCTCTCCACGCCCGCCTTTGTCGAAGATGTTGTGCTGAAGGACAAGATGCACACGCTGGTCCACAAGCTGGTGGCTTCGCTGCAGGGTAACTTTGAGGCCTTGGCCGATATGATCGAGGAGCCGGGAAGCAACAAGACGGTGGCCACCTACCAGGCTGGAGCAACCGCCAAGCCCTCGCGGGTGACCACCCGAAAGCCCGTGAGAGTGGCCAGCACCACCAGGCCGAAGGTAACCACCAAGAAGCCAGTGACTAGAGTTTCCACAAAGGCTCCGAATAAAAAGACCTCTTCGACAAGCACCACCACCAAGAAGCCAGTGAACCGGCGCACCACTGTGGCCACTTCTGTGACCACCAGGAAACCGGCGACCAAGAAGCCAACCCGCAGAGTGAGCAGCACCATAAAGACCACAACGGTGAGCTCAGCCCGTCCGGCTGACGATGAGATTGTGGATGAGGAGGATGAGGAAGACGTGAACCCGAATCCCAGCGACAACGAGATCGACCAGGGCGCCACTCTGAGCTCGTACGGCGGCACCAATGGGCGCAAGATCCGTAAGTGTGAACGTAGCATGGACTAGCATGGACCCGAAACAACTGTCTTTCTCTCTCTATTTCTTGTTCTCTCACCTGCCCATCACCTGCTCCCACCTAATCGCTAATCATGCCTTTAACCAAACGCTTCCTCCATTCCACCAATCCTGAATATTCGATTGATTCCCGAATCTAGCTCGCCGCAAGCACAAGAGGCGAAACCAGAAGAAGAAATCCACTTAGAAGCCTTAGAGTCCCCTTCCTAGCTCTAGTGACCCCCACCCTGTCCTAGTCCCACCACCCAATCCCCCATCCGTGTAGTTGTCCCCGCCCTACCCCCAACCGTTCCATGCTTCCCCGACTCTTATCAAACTCTCGACTCTCGAACACTCCCCACTCCTAACCTCGCATTTCACTCCCCATCAACAGAGTGCGGAGTGCGGCCCCATGTCAAGTCGGGCCGCATCGTTGGCGGCAAGGGCTCCACCTTCGGTGCCTTCCCCTGGCAGGTGCTCGTCCGGGAGTCCACCTGGCTGGGCCTGTTCACCAAGAACAAGTGCGGCGGGGTCCTCATCACCAGTCGTTATGTCATCACCGCTGCCCATTGTCAGCCCGGGTAAGATTAGTCATATGTCCATATGCTGTATACATTATAATCTTCAAAATCTGGTTTCGATAGCTTCCTGGCCTCTCTGGTGGCCGTGATGGGTGAGTTCGACATCTCCGGTGATCTGGAGAGCAAGCGATCCATCACTAAGAACGTGAAGCGTGTCATAGTCCATCGGCAATACGATCCTGCCACTTTTGAGAATGATCTTGCCCTGCTGGAATTGGACAGTCCTGTGCAATTTGATACCCATATTGGTGAGTTTTGGGGCTCTAGGATGGAGATTTATTAATTATTAGAAATAGCATCAAGGAATCTACTTTATATATGTTTACCTCTCCTCTATTGCAGTTCCCATTTGCATGCCCAACGACTTGGCAGACTTCACGGGTCGCATGGCCACCGTCACTGGCTGGGGACGCCTCAAGTATGGTGGCGGAGTGCCCTCTGTTCTCCAAGAGGTTCAGGTGAGCAGCCATTAGATATTCATTTTCCAATGAAAGATGAGCTAACCCGAGGTATCCATCTTCTGATTAGGTGCCGATTATCGAGAACAGTGTCTGCCAGGAGATGTTCCACACTGCTGGCCATAACAAGAAGATTCTCACTTCCTTCCTGTGTGCCGGCTATGCCAATGGCCAAAAGGACTCCTGCGAGGTAAGAACATCAACATTTTGAAAGGACTTAAATGTATCTTTAATCCTTCTTCTTCTTTTAAATTTCCCCCAGGGTGACAGTGGCGGTCCCTTGGTGCTGCAGCGTCCCGACGGGCGCTACGAGTTGGCCGGAACCGTGTCGCATGGCATCAAGTGCGCGGCGCCGTATTTGCCAGGTGTCTATATGCGGACCACCTTCTACAAGCCCTGGCTGCGCAGCATAACGGGTGTGAAATAAGGAGTTGTCTTCATCCAGCCCTTCACTCTTAAGATTGGCTGGAAGCAACAAGTGTAAATAGAACGTAGAGATGTAAGAGTCGTGGACAGAAGCGAGAGAAGTTGGCTCAACCCGCAAAACACACCCACAATCCAGCAAATCCTCAGCCGCAAGCAAAACCCTCCTTCATCCAGGCTACCATCATTCCATTAGCATAATTAAATATCAACTGCAGCGAAATACGCTGGGGATTCCCCCAGAAAAAACAGCGAGATTCAAATAATTTCGATTGCAGTCTCCGGTTTTTTTCGAGTACGCGTGCCTAACTTTTGTAGAGTCTGAATGAGAATTACGCTAATTGCAAGCCGTATGCTTAAGACATATTTATTCTAGTTTTAAGTCTATTTATTTGTCTATTTATTTATTTATGTGAGGCGTAACGAAACGAAACGAAACGAAACGATTTGTGCGTTTGATTCAACTAAAAAAAATTGTTATTTTCATAGGCAAATTGTTGTTATGTTCAAATGAAAGAGAGAGCAAATGTTTTTAGTTCAATTGAATTTACTAATTTATCGATTTATATTATTAATTTTTTATCTAATTACGTTTATGTTAATTGTTAAGCGAACGAACACAAATCGGAGTGAAATGAGATCGAAATAAATGACATAAATATTAGTAGAAAATGAATAGTGAATTTTTAATTCTGTTTTTAACTTCGAGGTTATTGGAAGTTCAAGTCCCGAAGGATTCCAGTTAAGTAACTTTCACTACCAACTTGTTGGGGCGGCAGCACATTTTATGATGCCCCCTTCAACTTTGCAGAAATCAAACAAAGGCAATATATACACAGACACTATGTCAGGATGCAATTTCCGCCAGCTCCCTTTACGTCGTTCTGCTGGCATCTTGTGGAAATGCCACTGCACTCAGCCAGAGCCACCACCCTTGCCACTCGGAATATTCAATGTGGATTCGGGTGGGGGCCACGGAAATTCCGCTCTAGCTCCCACAGATGTTGGGTAAACTGAAAACAAGGTTAACCCTCTTAGTCCATCCACTTGCCTCCTTGCCTTGCATCTCTGCTGTCCTAGATAAAGCATTAAAGTTTACAAAATATAGCAATCATAGATGTGGTTTTATATGTGCTTTTCCCAGCTTAAAACGATGTTGAGGCATTTTGGTAACTGAATTGCGAGTTGGTTTAAATTCATTTTCGTAATTTTGTTGATTTAAAATATTTGATGATTGCACAAAATTGGATTTCAGAAGGAAATTGCTATGAAAATGTTGGATTTATTTAAGGCTTAACCTCTCAGCCATCAGCATGCTTCCAAGGGCCATATTTACATCGGTATATTGCAAGCTGGTCTAACAAATAACATCAATTTGTTACTTATATTATATAGAGAAACATTGCTACACACCAAAATAAACGTATTAAAATAACAAGAAAGGAAACTTACTTCAGCAATTCAAATTCAATCCAATCGAATTATGGGATTGAAATGGAAATCATAGATAAGCTTAAATTTTACAAATCAATATTTATCAAGATTTTTGCATGAACATTTTTGTGATAAATTAAACTTTAAAAATCTCTAACTAAGCCGAAAATGCATTTAATTCAATTTGGAAAGCGTTCCTATGTTAGTTTTTAATATAAATATTATTATTTTAATAAATCTTAAAATTTAGAGAAATTCAATTTTTCATAAATTTTTTAAAATTTTGACGATGTAACCCCTTTTAAAATTTTCAAAAATTCGAAAAAAAAAAATGTTTAATTTTCTTTTTCCAATATTCAAATATTATCTAATTGGGATTTTAATTGCAAGCCAGGATATATATGACTTTTGGCAATCAGTGGCGGTTTAAGGATTTTATGCCCATAAGAAATCCTGGAAATTGGCATTTTTTACATCGATTTATCTTTGTTGGTATATAATATTTATTATATAATATATATTTATTATATAATAATTTAATATAATTTTTATATTATAGCTATTATGATTTACAACATTTTTGAGTGCATGACATTTTGGCAGTGTATTTCTCTTATTGAAATGAAACGCAAATGCTGTGAGTGCTTCAAATAATTTGCATATTGAATATTCAGTACCAAGGGATTTCTGGACGCGGGCAGAGTGCGGCACTGCTGCGGGTCCACACAATCCTCATTATCCTGATGCAGAAAATATCCTCAAGGGCATCTGGCTGTTTTCAACAAGATTTTTTGGGCAACGAATCAGCGTGTTTTCCTTTATACATATTTGCCCGAAGGATAGCGACATAGTGACCCATGAAGGATGCCTTGCTGGTAACATTAGCGGGCTCATTATATTTGCACTGCGGCTGCTGTGACAGTGACGTCATGGCCAGGGAATCAAAATCAAAATAAATACGAGAGTAAAGCCACCGCAATGAAAATTGATTCCTAGGAGCTTTTGGCTGCGCCACAAACACACTTAATTCATAAAAATGCGAGGGAAAGCTTCGGCGTCCCCAAAAGCTCCGCGGCGGCAGCTAGCCGACAGGTGTTGTTTGAGCCAAGTGTGGCAGTCAGTAGCCGACAGGACGAGCAGCCAGCAGGTATGTGCCACAGAGATCCCGATCCCGATCCCCTCCGAGTCTTGCCCTTCTTCGGCGTGCGGTGAAAGTTTATCCGTGGAACACACACGTGTAAATGATGGTGTATCTGGTGCGGCCTTTCTCGGGTGCGGCAATGTGACGCAGTCCCTGCAATTGCACTCTAAGTGCAGCGGCGGGCGTGTCGCAATTACCTGTGTCCAAGTGCCACTCGGATTGGCCATTCTCGGGCCTCATAAACATTATGGGTGAAATTTGAGGGTGCTGAAGGTGGGTCGCCTGTCAAATACATGTCGGCATTTGATCAAATTTCCCCCAGAGTCAACCCTGCCTCAATTTCCAGGAATAGGATGCCATTCTGAGTAAACGTAAACCATTACCGTTTAAGTGTGTAATTATAAGCTAATTTGGCAAAGGGTTTCCGTTCACACCCAATTTAGGCGTTTTTTTTTATTTGGTCGGGCAGGATATTAGATTGCGGTAAGTTGAGTGCCTTTTATGCAATTAAAACTTAAGTGCTATCAATTACACTGGCAAAAGGAGTACAAGTTTTTAAGATGTTCTTCTTAAATTATATAATTTAAGGGTACAGTATTTTAATAAAATGGGGGAACTGGAAAAGTTATTGGTATTTTTTAAAACCTAGAGAAATCCGAATCTTTTCAAGCACTGTGAAAATGTTAAATCAGTTACAAAAGACACTTCAGGGCTTACTTTTGTTATTTCTTAAAATTATTTTCTATTTATTGCGAATGTTTAAGTTGTTGTTCTTAGAACACCAAATCAAGAAATGTGAGAGGCGGTGAGATTATAGAATCTTGCTTTGATAATGAAATACAAAATACTTCTTGTTTTTCAACAGTATAATAAACCTCCAGCATTATACCAATATCATTTCAGCACTTAAAAAGTTGTCATTTTAGACCATCTATTATTTATAAAACCTGGCAAAGTAAACCTAATTAAAACACAAAATAAATAAAGTAGGGAACGCCTCATTGTAAGTTATCAAAGTGCACATGGCAGCATATTTCTTCACGCCAAAGGTCAACTTTTGTGTGCCGGCAGCTGTTGCTCAATTAAGAAAGTTTTATCAACTCATCGCTTAAGCGGATTCCAACCCATCTCACCTTCTTCTAATCATTGGCAAACTTTGGCCAATTGTGTAAAATACAAAAGAGAAACTAACTAATTGCAAAACTTTCAAACTGCACCAAGGCAATTAGCCACCGTTCAGCTGCTAACTTGGCCAGCGAGGGCAGAAGTTTAGCAATCATGTGCAAATAGCAGTTTGACACTTTCGTCCTGATAAGGAAGGACTCGCTCTTTGGACATTCGTCAGCGGCACTTTGTTTAATTGAGAAATGGGTCTACGCACAATGTATCACTTTCAATATTCTTACCTTTCGCCGGCGGAAGCGCAATTAGTCGAGATTTGATAACCGTCTTTGGATGGTTAATTGTAATTAGTGTCGTCTTTCGCGACTGAAAAGGGACCAATCGCCTGGCAACTGGCCGGCGTTTGTTGGATGATGGAAAAACAAAAGGAAAACAACAACTTTGACAAGCCCCTGAAAGTAGAGAAAAAAGTAATTAAGGAAATGCTAAGGGCAGGCCAGAAAGGACCCTATCTTTGTGCCCGCTTCTACAACATTTGCCTGAGCCACCTCCAGGAGCATTAATGGAATTGCACTCCCACGCCGAAAGGCCGAATAAACGAAAGAAAATCGTGCGACAGCCGAGAAAATGCTTTCGTTTTCGCCTTGAGCGTGTCAACAGCCTTTCACTCGCTTACTTATTTATGGAAGAGCGGTAACAACTGTTGCCAATTGGCCATTTTAGCTGGCAAAAGCCACAAATTCCCACAGAACGAACACTCAAGGTGAACCAGCCAGCGAACGCTGAACCTTGCTGATAATTTAATAGCTGCGCAAATAAGTAGGCAATCATTATTTTTAACCATTTGAATTGGTTTTATTTTTAGACCAATTTATTTGAATTATTTCTATCGATTTCATGAAGAATCTACCAGAAAGCGAACAAAGAATTAAGGTACCATTTTCCTTAAACTTTTTCTTTGTAAAATTTGAAGGAATATATTTGATATACTGCGAAAATTATACAAGAAAAAAAAACAACATTGGAAGAGTATAAATTACCATAATTATGTTGCTGTGCAAGCTTATTTTTGCCTTTGAAAACACAAAGTGATTAAAAAACATTTTGAAGCTTAATATTCATTTGCTAGAAGCTTTTTTGCTTCAATCGTTTTAATTACCTTTCCTATGGGAAGGCATTATAAAATTCAAGACAATTAACATACATTTTCAAATGAAAGGAAAACGTACCTTTGAATTTTGGAATCCCCCAAGGCAGAAACATAACTTGGAAGTTTTATTTATACTCCCCAATGTTAATCCAATTGGAAAAACATTATTTTTTTAAATATAAGCATTCTTTTAACTACATTACACTTGGGAATTGATTGTACCTGGTCCCACATGTCGTATGCGTAATTTTCTAGTTATCCCCATTTTTATTAGCTATATATACACGTCTTAATTGAGGTTTTTTTTCGGTCAATAATCGTTTGGCCTTTAAATTTGGCAAATAAGCGAAACGGCTATAACATGACATATGAACTGTTAACCACGACCAACATATTCCCACAACGATTTATGTGTGCGTCTTCCA